CCTTCCTTCCTTCCTTCCTTCCTTCCTTCCTTCCTTCCTTCCTTCCTTTCCTTCCTTTCTTCCTTCCCTTATCACTTTTCTTTTACTTTTCTTTATTTTTACTTTCCTTTTTTAAAATTTGTATTGTTTGTATCCTGTAAAAATTGTCTTTAATAAAAATTAATTGATAAAAAAAGAGAAGGTCAAACATGCTGGCAGAGGTGTCTGCTTTCCTATATAGCAGAATGGGACCAATCCTCATTGCCATTGTGCCTAGGGGAGGTGAACAAGAGAGAAAAAACAGAAGTAGGCAGCCACTACCATCTTGTCTCTGCATACCACCTACATGAGGCAGAATTCATGAGAAAACATGGGAGCAAGGGAGAAAGGTTTTCAGGAGATGACTGGCTCGGTGAAATCTCATTTTTCTTGTGCAACCTGTGCTGCAAGGCACAGAAAGGAGGAAGTGTTTGTATTTACTATTTACTGCCTGGCTGCCTCTCCTCATTATATAGGTGTAATTCCATGTATATTTAAGCCCTTAGTGGGAAGAATATCTTCTGGCTAGGGTTACAAAAGAATCACCTAGGCACCAAAATCAGTTGTGAATTCATGAGCAAGGTAAAATGTACATAGCCAACAAAATCCAAGAATGGAAACTATTTTTAACATGAGTCACTATAGCAAGATCTTTAGAAGATTGGATGTGGCTGTAGGTAAGTCAGATTTAAATCTGTTCAGCCATAACATTCATAGGAGCAACAGGACAGGTTGCAATCTCACAACTTTCCAGGATTCTTTTGAAGTGTTGACGTCACTGGTGTACTAAATTATATTCTAGGATTTGTTGCAAGCATAAACAGACAAAGGCATATATGCACTTTCTTTTCACATTTTAAATCAAAGGAGAGAATAGCGTATCCATATGCAGATAGCTAAGATTAGAGCTTAATGTAAGACAACCAGGTAGATATGTAAATGAGCCACCTATTAAGAGAGACAGCAGTAGAGGGGCTATTAATGATTTATACTACTGTGGATAAAGAAAAGGAAATTCGGCTAATTAGCATGTGAGGCACTTCTGATATTAATGTATTCTTACAATTTGCATAACGCTACTTATGGTATTGCTTCTAAGACTTTGCAATTTTTATAGCTGGCTGAAGCAGTCCAGACATAACATGTCACCCCCATCTGGGGAATCTTTTGCCCAGTAAGGATTTTTTTTCTTGACTCCATTTTATTTAAGGATAAGCAAGCAATCCAGAGATGCTAGCCTACAGAAGCTAGCATCTAACCATTAAAAAAAACAAACAGGTAAAGATGCAAAAGATTCCCCATTAATTTCCAATAATAATAACACTATTGAGTTGAATGGTATTTTGAAATTCAACTAATTTATCCACCTCCTCAGCGCAGGACTCACTACAGCATCTCTGGCAGATGGCTATCTAGCCACTGATTGAAGACCTCTAGTAAAGGAGAACTCACTGCTTCTTATGGCAGCCTGTATAGTCAGGAATTTCCTCCTGATGTCTAGCCTGAACCTGCTTTTTTGTAGTTTTATTCCGTTGGTTCTGGTCCTGTTCTCGGGCGG